CCCAAGTAGCTGGGACCACAGGCGCCCGCCACAGTGCCTGGCTATTTTTTTTTGTTGCAGCCATCATTGTTGTTTGGTGGGCCCGGGCTGGATTCGAACCCACCACCTTAGGTGTATGTGGCTGGCACCTTAGCCACTTGAGCCACAGGTGCTGAGCCAATTTTTCTATTTTTAATAGAGACAAGGTCTTGGTTTTGCTCAGGCTGTTCTCAAAATCCTGGCCTTAAACAGTCCTCTTTCCTCGGCCTCATAGAATGCTAGGATTATAGGCATGAGCTCCCAGACTTTAATTTTATTTTTTGAAAAAGGGTCTCATTCTGTTATGTCAGCTAGAGTGCAGTAGTGTGATCATAGCTTCCTGCAAACTCAAACTCCTGGGCTCAAGTGATCCTTCTGCCTCAGCCTCCTGAGTAGCTGGGAGTACAGGCACATGCCACCATGCCCAGCTTTTTTTTGAGACAGAGCCTCAAGCTGTTGCCCTGGGTAGAGTCCCGTGGCATGGCAGCTCACAGCAACCTCCAACTCATGGACTTAAGGGATTCTCTTGCCTCAGCCTCCCAAGTAGCTGGGGCTACAGGCGCCACCACAACGCCTGGCTATTTTTTGGTTATAGTTGTCATTGTTTGGCAGGCCCAGGCTGGATTTGAACCCACCAACTTTGTTGTACATGGCTGGCACCTTAGCCGCTTGAGCTACAGGCACCGAGTCCATGCCCAGCTTTTTAAAAAAATTTTTTTGTAGAGACAGAGTCTATGCTTCTCAGACTCCTCTCAAACTCCTAGCCCCAAGCCATCCTCTTGCCTTTGCCTCCCATGGTACAGGGATTACAAGCATATGCCACTGCGTCTGGTCTCATTTTTTAAATCTGGAAAATTGAAATAATTGTACCACCCTCATAGCATAATATATATGAAATGCTTAACATAGTGGTTAGTAGGAGTATATGTAAGCTGCTATTATGTTACACCCTGTGTATGTATGTATATCTGTATCTGTATCTATCTTCAGTGTTGTTAACTGCTCTGGTTCAGGCCCAGGCTTTGTGATGATACAGAGAAATATGACAACCCAC